CCACCCCAACGTTCCGCAACCACCAACCCTACCGCATGCCCACCCCCACCCACCACCCCAGCAACCCACCACCACCCACACCCACCCAGCACCGCCCACCACCGCCCACCGCCCACCACCCACCACCCCCCACCACCACCAGCCACCGCCACCACTACCACCGCCGACCACCACCACCACTACCACCACCACCACCACCACCACCATCACCACCACCACTACATTTGCGGAGCGCAAAAACGCAGTGGTGACATTCAGTCTTCATGTGCACTGCATCAAGTCATATTTTCGGACTTGGACACGGTGAGACTTGAACAGTTTTTAACAACGCGGTTGGTGTAGGACTCAGCATGTCTACGCTGGAATACAGCCCTTGCATGCTTGCCCGCTGGGCCGCAAGAACTCACAAGAGGTTGCCAAACATTTTAGTTTTTTAGCTGTCCTGGGCGCAGCATTTTCAAAGGCCAACGGCCCTCCGTAGCTCGTAAGGGTTAGCGCAAACAGTACAACCAAGGTACACGGAACAGGAGGTTGACTGCGAAATGCAGCCCCAATTTGCAAGCACGAGAACACCATCTCCGGAGTAGTCACGCAAAGATTGCCGACTGGCAGCTTAAAGCAAGTCAAGTCTCCGTTTAGGCGTAAAATAGGCATAGTCCTGTCTTCGCAAAGCGATGGCGAGCTTTGCCGCGAACCCATCCATCGTGTCGGTGCCAAGAGGCGCTGTGCAATGCTGTGGCAAGGGCCACAATCTCGCGACTAATGCTGAAACACGTCAAAATAGCAGGTGCAGTCCCAAGCCGCTAGTCAAGTTTGAGGTCCTGTGTGAACGAGTGTTGGCCGTTCCACACAAGATTCCGTGTCAGTGTTTCACACATGGCAGGGTGCGAGCCCAACCCCATGCACGCATGTAGGAACGAGGAAGGAAAAAGGAAGACAGAGCTCGATGGGTGTTGTGTTTAACCCTAGTCTACAAGAAAAATAGAAGTATCGAGCGTATGCGGGCGGCATAGCGTGTGTGTGCTTCGGCCAATGAACGATTGTGTCTTTGGAGGCGCGTCCCCGACCTCAGCAAGCCGACAGCCACTGCAGCGCATGCTGGACCGGCGCATGCTCTCTGCCTGGGACCCGGTGAGTCGAATGAAGCCAGCGATCTCTCGACGCCGCGGCATCAAAGGTTTCGACTTTTGTGTCTTCGACTGCCAGTGATACTCCTTTGGCAAGCCAGACCGCGCGCGAGTTTAGGCGCAGCCTGTGTTCGGGTTTTGAGGTTTATAAGGTTTGGGATTTGCGTCTTGCGGATGTTGGTTAAGGCGGTTAAGGCTTTAAAATATTCAGGGTTCGTGGTTTAGGGTTTCTGGGGACACAATCCAAGCCCATGCTGAAAAGGGTTTCTGGGGAATTTTGGGATGAGGTGTTTGGTTTTGCGGGGATCTAGCAGAAGAGATATTCGGGCTTCGTTGAAGTGGCGAGAGGCTCTGGACTTCTACCGGGAATTGGATTTGTGTTCCTTATCAACCGTAAGCGAAGTTCCGAAACTAGACGTAGAGCTTGGGGGTTTAGTCCTGCAGGACATTCCCGCAGAGCTGATTCCTGGAGCCTACACGCCGCGACGCGAAACTCACGCAAAACCTCTCCCATCGGCTCCTAGTTTCCTACAGAGATGTGGGGCCAAAGAAACACATGCTTCTAACACTTGATGTTTGTTTTTTAAGGGTTGAGGTGTGAGCTTCTTAAAGCTATTGTCCTTGTAACGGGGTTTTCATAATGAGGATCTACTGCTTCGGGTCTGTATTTGGATGCTTCCATCCGTTAGCCTGAAACCATATTGTGATTTTTTGAGATTAGGAGTTGTGGTGGGCGTTTTTATAGGAAATATTTTAATCACCGAAACAACAATATTGCTACCCGTCCAGCCCTTTCTATTTCTTTGGTGCCAGGATCGCCTACATTGGTATGGGTTCGTGTTTTGTCCACTAGAGGCCATGATCCTATAGTTTCTGCAGTGGACCGGAGCCCTGGTATGACCACCTGAACCCCCAATTCCCGGGCATCCCAAGCTAGAGGGAACAATGCTTGTCTTGACCGGATAATCTTTACTCAGACCTCCAATCAGCAGGGTCCTGCCCTTGGTGGGGCGAACCTGCGATGCGATTCTTCGCAGTGGCAGAAACCCGAAGACGATCGGACTTAGAGTATAGTGCTAGACTAGAGTGCTTTGCGGGTGTAAACCCTTGGAAGTGGAGAGTGTCTTCAGAGTGGTTTGGGGGTTCAGGGCGCAAGTTCGGTGCCTAGAGGCTTTTTATTCTAGGGTTTAGATGCTCAACTATGGCTGTGGGTCGGGGTGTTTGTTTTGGGCTTGCCGACAGCATTGTATGAGTCTTGAGTTTGAGCTTGTTTTTCAGGCGGCCAAAATCCACTTGGCCAGATGTGATGCCGGAGGCGATTCTCTTCCCAGTGCCAGACCTAGAGTCTACGGTGTGCTTCACGGCTGAACCTGTCCTTTCTGTGGCTGTGGCATGTGCGATGAATGTATGTTTTGAAGTGTGTAGGAAGGAGAGGTGAAATTCATCTTGATCAGTGTTGGTATCTGGTTATTCAAAGGCCAACAAGCCGACCAGCCGCGCCGATGCACAAGTCTTGGCCCGCTGGGTGCAAGCCTAAGGCGTGAGGCTTGCATCAGCATCCGAAAGGCTGTGACTGGCGGGTCAGCCCAGGTCTCCTCGTCCTTTCAGACCTATGCCAAGCGGAGCAAGCAAGCGGACTCGAAGGTGGCACTGCCGGTCGAAGCAGAATGCAGGTCTAACTTGTGAACCGCAGTGACAAAGTCCAGAAAGCTCCAGGACCGTTTTCCCCGATATTGTGTTGGCAATATTAGGTGTGGTGGATGTAGGAATGCACCAGTACTTGTGCGATGGTCGTAGTGAGCGTCCTGCAAGATCTGCAAGTAGTCCTGTCCGTTGTATGCAACTTACGGGACTACCATCCCTGATTGAGGTGCTTCCTTCGTTGACATGGTTGGAAATAGCTCTGTTGCTTCAAAGCCTGTTCTCCTGGAGCCGCCAGCACGAGGCCCCAAACCCGAGGGTAGCAAATTTGCCACCGATGCTTAGCTCATGGCAATTCTTGACTTTTCCGTGAGCTGGGACACTGGAAGCAGAGTGTCGTCGTCCTAAGTACAAGGCTCCTCAAAACCAGACACAGAATTTGCCACTGGCCTCGGATCATTGATCGCGAACGAATGCAACATCCGAATGTTGGACGACTGCTGCAATACATACTTGCGCAAGCAAACAAAAATCAGCCCATGTGATTTTAGATTTTGTTTTGGAAGTCTGAGTCTGGAGTCTGCTGGAGCTGACATGACAGGACATCTGCGAAGAGGACTTGACGAAGATGGCAGGGCGCCATGAGCGGTGTCAGTCCTGCCGGACTTCCCTCTTCGCCCCAAGGTCCAGGAGTTGGTCCCCGTCCTCTCCATCGGCCTCAACGAGGTTGTTCGCCAGGCATCACCGCCGGCACCATGAACAGGAGTGCCGGCGGTCGCCGGTCTTCCGTCGAAAGGTGTCCCAGCACTGCCTCGAGCGGGGTGTCGTGCTCGAGAAGATCTGGCGAACTTACGCCTGGGCCTTCACAGGAGAGCGTCTCGCGCAGTGCAAAATTCTGGGTTGCGGCTCCCACCCAGGTTGAGCTTTTCGAGCAAGCTCTTGGCGAGTCACGAGAGGCCCTGCGGCGACAGAAGGACAAACAGCCCCTGTAAGCTGAGAGAGAGCGGCAGAGGCGCGGCGCCATGCGTTGTCTTTGCCTCTGAAAGAAGATGACTGACAGCGGCATCGAAACAGAAAGTCGGAGGCATGCATGAACTCAACAATCGCTGCAACCAGGGTGGTTCTGTCAGCACGGAGTTGTTTCCAAACCAGAGTCTCGTTGCGCTGATGTGGATACACAGCGCGGTGTCGCAGAGCATCGTGCAACTGCTGAGCCGCTCCAACGAAAGCGTCTCCGCTAAGCGGCAGCTAGGACAAGACCTCGAAGGCGGAGGCCGGAGCCCCAGCTGCCCCAGCTGAGGCGATGTCGAAACTTTCGACCGCTTGGGCCTCAATCGGGACTTCGAAGGAAACACCTTGACACGTCCTTGAGGCAGAACTGCAGCGGGTGCGCGACGAAGCAACTGAACTGAAGGCGGGCGCCCTGTGCCTCTGGCGTTTGAATCTGCTTGCGGCCTCACCAAAGCATGGAAAGGCAAAACACCCAGCGCAGTTGGACAAGCTTCGCCAGACGCTAACCACGAAGCTTCTCGCCCAGCTTTGAAGCTCTCCTGACTGTCACGGACTTGGTAGATGTGTCGAGAAGTCAGGTTCGACCAGCGCCAGAATGAGCTGGTTCAGCAGTTGACGAGTACGCGCAGATTGGCTCTCAGACGCATGTGATACTGTGTCGGCCACTCCCTGTCCAACCCGGCTCCCAGGCGAGAACCGGGCGTTGAAGGTGCACTTGGAGGAGCAGCTGTCAAAGCAACACGCTGCCTGCCCAGAAGCGAAAGAAAGTGTCGCAGAGAGCAGCAGCACTGTGACAATCACGGTGCGAGGCTTGGTTTCCGATGTTCGCGATCTACAAGGACCAAGTTCTTCCGCTTCTGCCTTGAGTGGTGAACGAGTCGCAGCCTCCAATCCAGACTGTCGGTCTGGGAGACTTCGATTTTCAGATTCGGATTATGCTTCTGGGTTGCAGGTCTGTGGTTTGAAGTTTCGCAAAGGTGATTTATCACCGACTTGCGTACACGTACACCTTGGTTGCTTGTTAGGTTTGCAGCTTGACTGCTCAAGACCCACTCCGCGTGAGGTCGCAGCAAAAGGTCCGCTTGTACTTAGGTTGGTGCTTGTGTTGCTTCTTAGCTGGTCATTATGGTATCAAACTCTGATCCGATCTCTGCCTTGCATTGCCTTGCCTTTGCTTTGCTTGCTGCATATACGATTGGAGGCACCCTGCTTTGTGACCGACAGTTAAGTGGATTACTCCGTTTTTCACAGCATAGTTTCGCACGGCTCACTGCAATGGAAATCATGAGTCATGTCTTTTCGCAGAGTTTCAGCCCATGCTTCACGGGATAGTGTTGCCGGTTGCGTCGAGGAATCGCGGTATCGAAGAGCACTGCTTGGAAAAGCGGTGGTGTAGTCCTCGTGCCATGCTTGTGTCCGAGTGTAAAACTCGCCATCGAAGCTTGCAGTCTGCGCTGAGGCTGAGCTGCCTAAAGCGGCAAGCGTAGAGGCAGTGCGTGCCGAGTTTCCGGAGCCTTCGAAGGTTGACGCTTGCACAGGCTTTTAATGTTCAGATCCTGCGACTTGGAAGTAGGAGGCTCTGACGGGCACTGCACCGTTCGAGGCACGCCTGGCATCCGACTTTCGCAGGACGGTGGGTGTTCTCTCGGGGAAATTGGCATCTTGCAGCTCGGGTAGCCCAGCCTGGTCGCTCTGTAGGATTCTCAGCTCTTTGCCAGCAGATGTCCGCCGCAGATCCTTGGCAAGGAAGAGGGGGCACAGGGGCAGTTGGCCGAGCTTGGAGGAGTCCAGCTGTCACTCGAAATTTCACATCGACGGCTGTGCTGGCTAAGCTGGAAGATGGGAGTTGCCAGGGGCTCCGAGCTTCAGGATAGGGTGGGGAGACAAAGACGGCAAGCAATCTGGGCCTGCCAGAGGGATTCGTGCTCGTTCTTCAGACCACAGGGGGGAGGACGGGAACCGAGAGAAGGAAATGCTTTGTTGGCGACTACAGTTGACTAGCTTTCGATTCTTCGGAAATCAAATCATGGCGCATTAAAGATCTGACAGCTCTTTTCAGTGTATATGTATGTACACGAATTTTTGTTGAATGTTGTTTGCAGCTGAGGAACTTAATATTGGTTGGTACGTTATCCCTTCCACTCGAGAGAAGAGACAGCAAAAGAGCCCAAGACCTGCTTTCGCCCGCCTTCATTGGGGGACCAATGTCGTACGAATCGAACGTCATGTCGATCCATCCGAATCCTCCCCCAAACATACAATCTGATGCTGCAGCTATGCTCAGGAGTTGGATTCTTCATCTCCTCCTTGCCGTGAGCCTAACCATGAATCCAGGCAGATACAATGCTCATGCCACGGCGAGAACCGACAGCTGCGCCGCCTGAAAGATTCAATCTGTGACGAATCACGGTGCAAAACAGCCGGCTGCAGCTTTTTGCCCTACTCAAAGCGTTCGACGAGCTCGACTCACTTAGGTCGTTGTAGCACGTGCGAAACTAAGCTCCTCAGCTCAGCATCTTTCAAGAGGCCACACCACACACCGCACACCCCGAGACAGCCTTTGCAAAAACATGGCGAGGGTTTTCCTTCTAGTGGCGCTCAGCAGGCGGACATGGAGCTCTTGAATTTTTCTGCTCTGCGATGATTTGTTGGAGCTCTGCAGGTCCTGCAGGTCCGTGGATGTCAATTTGCTGGGTGATGAGTGTGCTTCGGGCCTGGAGGCAGGTCGAGAGTCTCCTTGCCGCATTTGCTGCTGCAGCTCCGTCTCACCGAAACGTTGCCTGCTAGGACAATTGCGGAGTCTCGATGTTGCAGCGTCGCGGCAAACAGCGACTCGCTTGCACAAGAGACGTGGCCTCATGTGGCCTCGTTCTCCATCATGTGCAGGTGTGCTACTCCTCGTCGTGTTTCCATCGCGCGGAGTTCTTCGAAAAGTGTACGTACGGTGTCGTTTTGGGCTTTGATTGCTGGAACAAGGATGTTTGCAGCCAGCGGAGATGCTGATGCTGCTGCACTGGAGGCGCGAGGAAATGCGAGGAACAAGACTTCTCATGTACGCGGAACGAGCTGCATTTTTTCTGTGGCTCCTTGAGCAGGAAGCCTTCCTGGAGGTGGTCACCGGGCCACCAAGCTTTGCTTCTTGCAACGGTTCGAGCTACGACAAGTCGCAGCAGAGCTGCTGCGGAGGTGCGGAGGTGGAAGGGCTACAGCATGCGCTTGCGGCACGCACCGTGGGCCTTGGCCCTGTGCAGGGACGCTCTACTCTCTGACGTCCGAGGGCTGCTGTGGAAATCGCAGCGTCTATGCCTTTGCCCGACAAGGCCGGCCGCGCGGATTTGATGGCATGCACGAAAGTGAGAAAGTCGGCAAAGCTGCAGGCTGTTGCAACAATGCCCATGTCTTTACGTATGGCGAGGAGTTCCTTGGATGAAATTTGGCATTGGAGGCTATAGATCCTTTTATTGATCACAGTCTCTACATGAAGATCTGCAGCAGAGCGCGGAATCCCAGTCCCGGACCCCCCAAAAGTCTTCAGGTGCCTCCTCAAGCAAGCTTAGGCAATCTCTGAGAGTAGTGGGATCTGGCGGTGCGGGTGGGGCTCTTCATTGGCTTCCGCAGAATTGAAAAGACCGGGATGGATGATTCAACTGCAATTTCTTTCGAGTTTTGTTCAGCTAAGCCCTGCTCAATTGAATATCTCGGTCTGTCGTGGGCTTCTCCAGGTTTCTTAGGCTCCATTCAAACCCGGACAGCTGCTCACGGGGACATCAGTGCGAAAGAGTCCGCAAGAGCATTGGGGAGGATGTTCCCAAGCAGGATAAAGGTAGTCTCATGCGGCGCGGCAATACTGCAAGCCACTGGGTCTTCAGGGCCACCCCACCGTGTTGCCGGATGCTAGAAGCGGAAGCCAAGACCGAGGATCTGCTCCGAAGCTTCGGCTCCTCCTGGGCAGAATTCAGAGTTCAGTTGTGCTGCTGACTGGCCTCCAGAGACCTACAGCTGGCGACCCAGACAAACGACTGATCCTACACACTTCAACCATCCAGGACACCCACGCAATCTCGCCAAGTCACATGGACCTCAGGCAACTATTGGCGCCGCTACTGTGCTGCAGGCCGGGGAAGAAGCCTCGTGGATCCTCCTGGCCTAAGGGCTTCTCCAAGACATTGCAAGCTTGAGTTTCAGAATTCTGAAATCTTCGAGCAACGACCCACCGCGTGCATCGGTCAGCCTCCATCTGCGTGTGAACAATTTGTACACACATTTATACGTGTGTGCCAATCACACAGGGCAAGTAGAGATGAGAATGGCATGGGACAGAGACTCTGCTACACTGCATGCGAGAGGCTTGTCAGAAGCTGCTATGGGTAGGTGGATCATTCGTTGCATTTTTAAAGGAGAGGGTGGGCTGGCCCTGTCGGTCCGAGACTGCAGGACATCACATGGCCTGGGCCATGACGGAGTCGTGCAAAGTTGGATGGCTCTCCGTGCAACAGTCGCTTGTGCTGGTCAGTCGCTTCGAAGTGACCTTTGCAAAGTAGCCCCAAACACTGCGTGCTGTGTGTTGAATCATTGAAGATCTGTTTCAGTACATTCCCTGAGCTGGTTGTGGCGGCAAGGAGCAGTATCGAGCAGGCCGAGGCAAAAGCCCTGGAGGCCTGCAACAAGAAGGCTCGCCAGATAAATTTGTGTTACTGGCTGTCAGGACAGCTTTGCAGTTCCGGGAAGGCCGCCGTTTTCGACGGCGAGACCTGCAAGATTTTTGACAGAGATGGCGGCGAATGCCGAAGGCCCACTCGGGCTGCTTGAAGTGCACAAACCCGCAGCCTGCGCCAACATGAGGCAGCGCTGCGGCGCGGACATCTACGATGCATCCGTGCAACTCAGCCGAGCGAGCAGCGAGCATTCTTGTCACGGGCATGTTGCATATATCCGACTGAGCAGCAACTGACCCAAGGAAAGCATGTTGCGGAGGGCGAGTGATCGATCGAGTCGCGGAGGTCGGCAGCGGAAGCTGCGGTCTGCTTGCCAACACGGTTGAGACATGTTTCCTGTTGCTTTCTGATGGCAGCTTGTCGCAAGTGTCGCAAGGGCTGCTGCAGCGGCGTGGCCTTCAAAGTCCAAAGCCAGGGCTGCTGCCAGGGCCGGGTATACTCCAAGGCCGGCTACCTAGCCGTCTCCTCTCAATGGGCCCGTGTAGAGTGTTGGACCATCGACTGTTCTTGCGCTTTGAGTTTCTGAATCTGAGGCCTCGTACAGTTGCTGCGGTGGCAAGGTGCTCTATGATTCTGGAGCGCAAGGATGCTGCTTACAAAACGGCCCTCAGGTGTGGTGCTCTGAAAATTTGCATGTGCACGTCATTGCGTGTCAATCGCTTCATGGCTTCATGTCCCCATTCACGACCTTGTTGCTGGCGGATCCAACCTGCAGCTTCACGTTCAGGTCTACAAATTTGGTGTGCAGAATTGCTGTCGGCGTCCGAAGGGCGTTTGCCGAATTCGACCTGGCCAATACAGCTGTTGCCACTGAAAGAGCCCTGAACCGCCTGAGCCTGGAGCAGGCGCAGGTGATCTTTGATCACACGTGCGTGAAATTTGCTTGCCTTCTCACTGCTTCGAGCTTGCCTTTGGCGGAGAAGGGTAGTCGGCATCGAGCTTTCTCTAAGGCTCGGCTTCCGTGGTGTCGGGCTCAGTGCTGTGACGAGCGAGGCCTGCATGAAGTTGAGTTCGGGTTCTAACAGCTTCCGGTCGAACAGCTTAGTATAGGCAGCGAAACGCATGGCGATCCGATAGATAGCATGT